ATTAGCTAACGTGCGGGGCTTTTGTCTCGAGACTGCTTCTCAAGCCTATTATGTGCATGAACGTCGGCTCTCCATGAACTAGTTCAGGTTTTTGTGTAGTTTTCTTTTTAGTTTGATGACTACGAGTAAGCACAGCATTCTATTAATATTGAAGCTTTTATTCAATGTAGTTTGTAAGGGCTTTATCACTTATTTAATGATAATAACTACTTCTATTTGGAGCTTAAAATTGGTTGTGTTGTAGCCCAAAAAGTTAACGCAGAAAATATCTATTTACAAATACCTAAATGTAACGAAACTGTAATGAACATATTTCCAAATATTTTAATCAACACACACATTTCAAAAGATGCTTTCGAATTTCTTCAGTCTGGGAACTATTTATGTAGCTTCCTACATTCTAATACAAATGTCAAAGACATTTATATTATATCATCCACATTTCTCCACTCATAAGACAAATATGCATGACACACTGAACATTATTCAGCGCACCAACAAGTACCTACATTCATGGCATGAAGGCGTCTCACGACGTCACCGCAGAAGATAAAAGCACTGGCCAGATGAAGCTGGCTACCTAAATAAACTCCGATATTACTGAATATCGACATGACTTTATTTCGACACTACACTACTCAGAGAAAGGATATTACGCCTTTATCTGAATAGTGTAGTGTCTAAGTAAGTGGAGTAACGTTTGTCGGAGTTTATTTAGGTAGCCCTCACAACGTCACCGCAGAAGAAGGCACTGGCCAGATGAAGCTACGCGTCTGATTGATGAGCCTCCGAACCCAAATTAATTGCTATGAGATACCGTAGCACTCCGTAGCCCATTACATTATTAATATTAAAGGACTATTAATATGGGAAAATGCACACGCTACGTCACCGCAAAAGATTACCTAAGGCACTGGCCAGATGAAACTACGGGTTACGCGCCTGATTGATGAGCCTCCGAACCCAAACTTTTTTTATTACTCTCGTTAGCCCCTCGTACTAAGCTAAATTATGCTTGTGTCACGAGTGAGCTCACCACAATAGTCGACCGGTAGAGGAGACCGAACCCGCGTTCCCCGGATCGCGAGTCGGCCAGTCCGACCCCTTCACCGTTCGGCTATCATGGCTTCTAAATTAATTGCTACGGGATGCCGTAGCACTTCGTAGCACATTACGTTCATTAATATTAAATGACTACATTCATAGTAAGGGAAAATGCACAGGCAATGTCACCGCAGAAGATTAAGGCACTGGCCAGATGAAGCTACGAACCCAAACTTTTTTTATTACTCTCGTTAGCCCCTCGTACTAAGCTAAATTATGCTTGTGTCACGAGTGAGCCACCACAATAGTCAAGCGGCCAGTCCGACCCCTTCACCGTTCGGCTATAGTGGCTTCTAAATTAATTGCTACGAGATGCTGTAGCACTTCGTAGCACATTACGTTCATTAATATTAAAGGACTACGCATTCATGATAAGGGCAAAATGCACACGCAAAGGCACCGCAGAAAATTATGGCACTGGCCAGATGAAGCTACGGGCTACGCGCCTGATCGATGAGCCTCCGAAACGAACCCAAATTAATTGCTACGAGATGTCGTAGCACTCCGTAGCACATTACGTTCATTAATATTAAAGGACAACGCATTTGTAGTAAGGGTAAGTGCACATCCGAAATAGATTAGGTGATGAAACTTTGAACTTTGAAAACACATTATCATACTAAGTCCTAGTACTTTAAGGTCCATGACATTTAAACAGTTTTGCATATTTTATTTATATTGAACTTTGAAAAACCGCGATAACATCGATTCCAAATCAAGTTGAAATAAAAAAACCTTTGAAATTGCTAAACTGGATTTCAGTAACAAGAACTCTACCTAATTAGTTATTAGTACTTTCCTACTTCCATAGTAGTAGTGGGAAGGTACTTAGTATTATGGTAACCTTTGGTTGGATTAACCGCTATGGAAATTGAGGCCTTTGTCCAGTAGTGGACGTCATTTGGCTGAAACGAACCATCCTACTTCGCTCCCAATTAATGTAAATATTAACCCAAAGACAATAAATAACGTCATCACTAACATCAGTATTCCAGCCTTGCCAATGCGATGCGTTGCGATGCGAAGCCTCTACGGCTCGGAATAACACTCTCATTCCGGGAATATTTCTATTCCCAGGAAATAAGGTCGTCTTCGAATAAAAAAGAAGCTATGACGCAACGTGCTCGTAACGCCGACGTAATGGGAGATATGCGAGGCTGTGGATACGATGTGTGATCAGGGAACTATAAAAACATAGAAGTATTTATGTGTCGAATAAACAACCAATTTTGGTTTAGGATTTGCAATGTCACCGGTGCCCCGTCATACCTTTATTTGTTAGGTAGCGTTAATACATATTATAGGAATCCGTGAAACCGGCCCTAAGTTTTTTTACTTTACAAACACAGTTGCTAGGAAACAAACTCTACAACTGTATTATTACTCATCTCTAATCTACATTACTATTTTTTAACTTCACAGTTACACAAAATAATAGAGTTTCTGTCTCGTATAAGTTAAACTACGGATACCCACTCGTAAAAGCAGAATACTTTTTCTCGTGATTTCGGTTTCAATAGGATTCTGCTTCCAAGTTTTATTCTTTCCTACTTGTAATCTGATAAACTTAATATATTCTCCATATGTCCCAATCCGCCAATGAATCCGTTGCTGAATTATAGGGAATCAGCATAATATATACGATTCCCTTTGATATACATAGACCACATTTAAAATTGAATTCTCCTGCCAGCTGTGTACTACTCTACGTTTCGCTGAAATTTCGTATTACCTTTATTTTGCTATCCCGAGTCTAGAATATGTAGAACAAATAAATGTCACATAAATGTTCTTTGCCAATAATAAGTCGTTTACTTTGCCAGTTTATGTAGGAGACAAAGCTTGTTTTATCATGTACGACTAGCAATGCCAATGTTGTTCAAATGTAAGGTTAAAAACGTCTATTTCTCTTATCAAAACACATCATTGTTGAAATTGATGTGCCCGGCCTCATCGGCGGCCATGTAGCAGTCTCAATGTTGGTTTAGTGCTTGCTTACGGCATGCAGGAGAATACGTTGATTGGGTCAGTACTCACTGACGTGGGAACGTCTACTAAACGGTAGTAACATTAGTATCGAGCAAGTAGTCACAGGCGTAGTACCCCACGTCGTTGCTAACGTTAATTTAAAGCGAGTAAAGTCACGGTGTAAAGTGCTCATTGACATAGTATCCTACGTCATTAAACAAGTCATTTTAAAGAAGTCTAGTACTCATTGACGTATTAGTATCCCACGTCTACTAGACGGTGGTACCGCTAGTATCCACTATCCACAAGGTATGTACTTACTGGCGTAATATCCCACGTCGTTGTTGACGTTGATGTGTCCGGCGTCCTCTGCGGCCAGCATGTGCGTGTCCCACACGGAGCGGTACTGGGATCAGTACTCAGTGACGTATTAGTATACCACGTCTACTTAACGGTGGCAACGTTACTATCGAGCAAGTACTCACTGGCGTAGTACCCTACCTCATTGCTAACGTTAGTTTCGAGCGAGTAAAGTCACGGTGTAAAGTGCTCATTGACATAGTATCCTACGTCATTAAACAAGTTCATTTTGAAGAAGTCTAGTACTCATTGACGTATTAGTATCCCACGTCTACTAGACGGTGGTACCGCTAGTATCCACAAGGTATGTACTGGTTGGGAAGCCAACAACACGCGGGAGGAGACGTACGGGCGGCGTACGATGATTAACGTCACCTCGGGCCAACAGCGTCATCATCGGCTGCGCTCGGCTCACACACTCGCCTTTGGGACACCATCGTCGTCGCACGAATACCGCGTACTCTCATAATTAATTTCTTGTAATTAGGCTGGCGAGAATTACAGCACCTATTTTATACAGTCCGCTATTTTATTTCTTAGTAATATTCGTTAGGACCCTAACAGTACTCACTGTCGTAGTATCCCACGTCGTTGTTGACGTTGATGTGGCCCGCGTCCTCTCCAGCATGTGCGTGTCCCACACGGAGCGGTACTGGGGTCAGTACTCATTAACGTATTAGTATCCCACGTCTACTAAACGGTGGCAACGTTAGTATCGAGCAAGTACTCACTGGCGTAGTAGCCTACGTCGGTGCTAACTTTAGTATCGAGCAAGTAAAGTGTTCATTGCAGTAGTACCATACGTCATTAAAAAAGTTCGTTTTAAAGAAGTCTAGTACTCACTGGCGTATTAGTATCCCATGTTATGGTAACGTTAGTATCGAGCAAGTACTCACGTGCGTAGTAGCCCATGTCGTTATTGACGTTGATGTGTCTGGCGTCCTCAGCAGCCAGCGAACGTGACATTACCAATGTTGACCAAGTGTACAATAAAGGCAGGGGAACCTACTATCATGGAATAATGCCAATATTGGTCACGTCATACAAACATTAGTATCGAACAAGTACTCACTGGCGCAGTACCCCACGTCGTTGCTAACGCTAGTTTCGAGCGAGTCGTCTTACGTCATTAAAAAATTCATTTTAAAGAATTCTAGTACTCATTGACGTATTAGTATCCCACGTCTACTAGACGGTGGTACCGCTAGTATCCACTATCCACAAGGTATGTACTTACTGGCGTAATATCCCACGTCGTTGTTGACGTTGATGTGTCCGGCGTCCTCTGCGGCCAGCATGTGCGTGTCCCACACGGAGCGGTACTGGGGTCAGTACTCAGTGACGTATTAGTATCCCACGTCTACTTAACGGTGGCAACGTTACTATCGAGCAAATACTCACTGGCGTAGTAGCCTACGTCGTTTGCTAACTTTAGTATCGAGCAAGTATAGTGTTCATTGCAGTAGTACCATACGTCATTAAACAAGTTCATTTTAAAGAAGTCTAGTACTCATTGGCGTAGTGTTCTACGTCATGCAAACATTAATATCGAACAAGTAGGTACTCACTGGCGTAATATCCCACGTCGTTGTTGACGTTGATGTGTCCGGCGTCCTCGGCGGCCAGCATGTGCGTATCCCACACAGACCGATACTCGGGGTCGTGTAGCACGTCGTACAGCGCGTCCGGCTCCACGTCCGAAAACTCGGCGACCACCTGAAGATAAAACGATGATAAATACCCCTTGCCCTTTTTCTTCTTCATTATCTTCAACCGCCTCTGTGGTCTAGTGGTAAGACCACCTGCTTCAGACGCAGAGGTCCCGGGTTCGATTCCCAGTGGGGGCAGATTTTTCTGTTCGGTTTGGTTGGTGGTAGGGCTTGTTCTAAGTCCGCCTGGCTAGCTACCACCATCTTATCTAAGTCTGTCGCCATAACAACAATGTTAACAGCATTATTGTGTTCCGGCAGTTAGAGGTAAGATAGCCAGTTCCTCCGTGGTTGAGGATTTTGAGTGAAGCTCGCTTCCACCTTCGGCCTGATCGTCACTTACCATCAGGTGAGATGCAGGCCAAGAGCTTCCTCGTTGGGGATAAAAAAAAATCTGAGCCCCGATTATGGTAATTTTTAACGTCTCCAATCCAGACGCGTTTCATCGATTCTGCGATACGATTGGTCAGCGTAATGATCAAAACAGCGTACGTCAGCTGTTTTGACCAATCGTATCGCAGAATTATGAAGCGCGTCTGGATTGGAGACGTTAAAAATTACCGTAATCGGGGCTCTGGTCATATAAATGACCTAAACTGAACTATCCCACCAAAATCTTTGACAGGGGGACGCCACCATCGTTCAACTTTATAGTTTCCAACATGGCAAAAATCGGAACCAGCGATCCGGTATTGACGGTGGCGCCCCGCTGTCAATGTCACGGATAGGACAGTTCAGTATATTGGGTCTATAGCTGACTTATCAACTCGGAAAGGGATCAGTACCTCTAGTACGAAAAACTTTCGAGTTCGTTTCGTTTGCGTATTCAAAGTGTCGTCGAAAAATTTTGTATGAAAAATTAAACAGCGCCCCCTATATTATAGCCGCCCTAGGGGGCGCTGTTTAATTTTTCATACAAAATTTTTCGATGACACTTTGAATACGCAAACAAAACGAACTCGAAAGTTTTTCGTACTAGAGGTACAGCACCGTATCGCATTTCGCGAGCTGTCATCGCCTTTCGCGCGTTCTGTCATCGCCTTTCGCTAGCTGTCATCGTGCGCTGTCAACCGCGAGGCGAGGCATTTACGTTACGGTGCGGAGTGTACATACGTTGCAATATGGAGTTTCATACAAAGAATACTGACCGCCTCGACTTGATACGCTCCATTTCCGGGTTGACAAGTGTGCTACAGCCTTTAGTCTCCGTTGCAGGAGCACGACACTCGCTAATATAAAGATAGCGAAGCACATGAAATCAAATCAATAAAGAATCGTTCTTTTTTTAGAAAACGGAAAACAGACTGATGAAAACGTTAGTAAGTACGTGTGTGCGTTACCAGTGTGCTTACCATGAGTTAACGTTAGGTGCGCTCGCTAGCGAGTACGTCAAAAAATCTATGAAGATTTTATTTCTTGAAAGTAGCCACTAGGGGCGCTGCACAACATGTCATACATTTTAATGTCATTTTTTTACGCAGTCGCTAGCGAGCACACCTAACGTAAACTCATGGTAAGCACACTGATATAGGCATACTTTTACATAAAGATATGCAGTAAAGCATTTATTACAATAGAAAAATAACAAGCTTTCCTTTCTTATCTAAAAAATTGTTACGACCCTCACTATCAAACACTAAAGAAGGCCTTTTTCCCTTATGAATACTTTTTCTAAACAGACTCGGCCCAGACATATTTTGCTGAATAATAAATTCGTCGTGCGCCATGAAACATATAAGAGATCATTTGCACAGACGCCAGACGCCCTGGTGTACTCTTAGCTAGCTTTTAGACTCAACTTAGGATTTCAGAAGGCTACGAAATGTATGTAGATAGAACTTACACAGGTGATTTTTTTCAGTTAAGAACAATAGCGAAACAGAAGGCTCGGTTATTTTATTCAAAAATATAAGTGCGTTATAATAACGATTATCGAGAAGTTCAATATCTTCGTCGAAATTGAACTGCGCTGGTGAGCTGAAGCTGATATCTCTTTGATATAAAACCACTTGTACCACACTATCTTTGAACCCGGAAGTTTTGGAAAGAACATTAATGTTTATACTAATCTGAGGTCGCTTAAAAGAGTCCCATTAAAGTATAAAAATATTCACTCTTTATCCCTTCTATGAGTGTATCATTTTAAGAATTGTTTCTAATTTTTTTTAGCTTAGCTACTTGGGTATTCTAAAGAACAATATCTTTTACAAAATATTACGATTATTGTCGCTTGAAAAACCGCAATTCATTATGTTTACGTAAAAAGTGTCATACTAAACTGGGTAGATACTATAATGCGCCATTTTGAAGCAACAAGTAGTGTTCTGAAGATGAAATAAGGTTGCTAACTAATCGGACTTCCAGGGATTTTCCGCGGCTTTAAGCCGTTTGTCGGGATCAGACAGAGCTTTCAGGAATCATTTCCATCTCAGGATCTGAGGAAATCCCGGAGAAATATGGACAACATACATGGTTTATTTGAAACTCTACCTTTAAAATGGTAATTTTTGTACCCAATATCTTTCTCTCTTATAATTAACATATTCACATATGTACTCCAAGTACATATGTGAATATGTTTTTAGACTAAAATCTCGCTACACTTCAAATTCAAATAGTTTATTCAGTACATAGGCCCTTTCCAGGGCACTTATACACGTCCCAAATATAGCTTACTCTACCACCACTTCGGGACAACATAATGAGCTAGTGCTTAAAAGTAAAATCTGAAACGCAATAATTCCAAAGAATAAAAGCACAAGAAAATTTTATGTATAACAAATAAGTGTAAGTAATACTAGTAGGTATCACTTTAGCACAAAGGCTGCCAAAATATCGAAATCTACGAAGAAGTCGCGCGCAAAAGCCTAACAATAGTACAAGCCTAACCTTTCATACAATATCTGTATCGCATAATTTACGCACAAATGAACGAAAGCCTTCGCAAACATAGTACGATGGTACGATTCTCGGGCGCTCTTGAGGCGGTTTGAGGTTTCAAATTCCAAATCCTCTCAGAAGCTCCACGGCCTCAAAGCGTTCCACTTTGATGAGCTAGGGGCAGGGACAATTTGATTTAGATATTAGCACGGGTAAGTACAGCCAGCAGCAAAAGTCGATGACCAAAATCAAAGTCAAAGTCAAAAATTTCTTTAATTGTATCAACTATTCAATAGTGCTTCAAATCGTCAAATATTTTAATTAAAAAAAAATAGTTTTGCTCATAAGAAGCCTTTACATCTGTCATACTCATTTTGCCCATTCTTTTTTTACATTTAGCAAGTACTGAGAAGTAGCGCCACAGCAAACTTAGTCATCTGTCAAAAATTCAATACTACGGAACTATTCTCACCGCTCGTTCCCACCACTGCAACTCGTGAGTCACCAGGGTCTACCGCTTGATCGCCTAACCCAACCAATGAACTATGAAGGTCAAGTTTGTCCCGGAGGAAAGCCAAACTTATAAATTCAATAATGACTAATGTTTGCGCTAGAACTCTGTTGAAGTGATTTTAGAGTAAGTGACTGTAAATATACCTACGGTTAGCTACTACGCCAGACCTTTTGGACGCTAACATCGGTATTGAATTACAGATTCTGGTCATCAACTTTTGCTGTTTACTGTACGAGGCTTAAGGCAAATTAATTGAACGAGACTATTATTTTTACAAGGTTTTATTTTTATTCAAAACTTGAACTAACTTGTAGCAGTAATTTATTCCATGTCCAATTAAGCTCTTGTACTTTTTACGGCAAACGAAATATCTGATTGCGACTAAATGGTCGTAATACAGCTCAAACTCGGCAAATGTGGCTACAACATGAATTGATCATTTACTTTTAGGCTAGTTTTCCACAGAAATTGCTAGCCTTTCGCCCTCGGCTTTACGTGTATAAAAATACCTAATGTGCATTACAGCTCTCAGAATATTTGTTTGATCCTGAAATATCTTTTAAATTATTGAGTGTGCCATTTGCAGACTCATTAATTGCTGAATTATTTATGAACATAAATATGAACCATTAAATACCCAAACTCCTGACATAAATTCCTCGATGAACATCACAATTTGATTATAATCATAATCTATATAAATAAAAATGAATTGATGTTCGTTAGGGGTCATNGTCTGATTAAAACTCGAGAACGGCTGGGCCGATTGAGCTGATTTTGGTTTTAAAATGTTTGTCGTAGTCCAGGGTAGGTCTAAACGGTGAGCAAATACGCGCGCGATATTGTTTTTCTGTGACAGACAAAATTTCACGCGGGCGAAGCCGCGGGCAGAAAGCTAGTTATGAATAAATGAAACGTTTGTGACGCATTTTAATCATATTTGATTAGCTGAACCTACGAGTAATTAGCTGAACACATAATGTCAGCGTGGTTTGTTAGCTCACACCTACATATTATATGCTTCATTACCCAAAACTTGTAAACTAGAATCTGAGTCCTGGGACCACATATAGTTTCGACCCTTTGAAGCTATTTTAGAGGCCTTTCTAGCCGAAAGGGCAAAGGGAAAGGACTTGGGGTCAGTAAAGATGACCTTTCATAATGAGAAACCCATAATTTGCTTGACCTTGGATGAAATTGGTGAATTATAAATATTATAATGCTATTTCGTTGTTCAATTCAATATCTGAATTGCGTGTCACATAATCATTATGTGTTACGAATATAATATGGTTTTGTATCATTAACGATTTTTATTCAGTTATTTAATAACCGTTCATTTCTCTGTATATTAATTTTAAAGCTTGCACCCACAGTTCTACTCACATAAAAGCCTATTGTTGTAATAAAAAGCATCTTACGCGTGTACAAATTAAAAACTAACCCACTTCCTTGTGCCCAGTTCTAAATTAAAATAACATAATAACTTTTGGTATTAGCATTTTTATGCTTATCCAATCAATCTAATGCAGCGATGTAGGCAAAGCATCTTCATAATCCTCCAGCTTTGCATGAATAAAAAACAATTGAAAAACAAAAGAAAACAGCAACAAGCGACGGCGTTCGATGAAAAAGTGGTGAAAGACAAAAACAAAACAAATGAACATTAGTATCCTTGTACTTCGTTTGTTTTTCTGAAGTAAAAACCGATTATTGCTTGCCTATTTCTTCAGTCGACTGAGCTAAGTAATAGACATAGTTATTGCGGTATGCAGAGTGGAAAATTACGTACATGAAATATGTATCTTTCCATCGGGAAATTGCATTAGGTATAGAAAAATCGCTTTGTTCATGAAAATCATTTAAAGAGAACTAATAAAAGAGCCGAGTTAGTCGAAATCAGATACCTAGATAAGTATCTGATTTCGACTAACTCTTTATTTATCTACATTTCTGTATTCTTTAGCTATCATACATATTTATCATTATTGCTTATTCTCAATATAATAACAGAAACGTTAGTAGGAGAATCATTGAAAATCAATCCTAAACATCAAAATCAATTAACAATCCGATCACATCGCGCCGATGTCTGTGCAGTTGAGCTTTTATCCGAGCTTTTAAGCTTTATCTTATCGCTTTTATGGACGCCAATGAAAAACCTTTAAACATTGATAGCTGAGAGCTAGTAAAGTCGAACAATTTCACTCTATCTATGCCAGTAACGAATGTATTAGAGTAGGCGCACACCGTTGATTTTTCGTCGGCCGATAGTTTAGTCGGGCAGTTGATCAGTATGGGCATGTATGGGAGTGCGCACACTACGCCGATTCGATTTGGCCGAATCTTCATACAAATTAAAATCGGGCACAACTATCGGCCAACTAAAAATCAACAGTGTGCGCCTATTAGTCAATAAGGTTTTATTACCTTGTTATCGTTTAGAGTGACGCTTTAAATAGATTTTAAAATGAAATGTTTCTTTATGAACTTTTATTTTTTCTACTTCTACCACTTATTTGTGAAAACATTTCATGGAAACTTGAGAGAAAAATCCAATAATCCGTTAGTAATTGATGAGCTGCTTTTGACGAACAGTTTTCACTGGAAAAGGTAAAATTGTAATGATTCCTGTTCTATGCTAACTAAATAATATGCTGAAGAAAATTGATCATTATATTGCGCGCTTATTTGAAATTATTTGTGAAGAAAATGTATTGTGTTATGTTTTTATAATGTTTTCCTCAGAACAAAACACTACACATAAAACTCTACCCTATAAAATGCAGGTAAACAACATTCAACAAACTAAAATAACGACACAACATTCGGATTTTTTTTTATTCCGTCCAGAGTAAATTATACAAGTTCGAATTACTAAAAAAGTTTCCAATTCTAGCTGGAAACAATTTTCCAACCAACGTAAAACCTTTGTGTTGGATCAGATAATTTACAATGTAGGGTATCGTAAAGTTTCTTCTACAAAAAAAGGTTTGTTAAAGTTTTGATCCTGGCTGAAAATATTTGGGTTTTTCAATTTAAATTTAGATTGTCTCTTATTTTGTTCTTTTTTTGCGATCTTCTTTTGTTTCACCCTACCGAGTCTTTGATAATGTTTTATTCCGGCGTGCAAACATATTTTGTGTTGAGTTCAAAGCATTAGCGACGTGTGTCACTTTCCCAGAGATAATTACTCAAACGCTGCGCACATTTCACGTGAGTACAGTCGGTTTCCATAAATACGTTATATCCAGTCATACACCAGCCGCCTGCCCCAGTTTTATTTAACTCTTCAATCAGTGAAAATAAACTAAGTACTAGGCGCTACGTCAGGTAGTGACGTTACAAATACATTTATCTCGCGGTTTCAATACATCTACATAATTAATATAATAAAAATATTTAAAATAATGTAACAAATTATCTAAAATACTGTACCAACTGTAGGTACGTAGTAGGTACGTATACAAACACGTCGTTCGGCCAAACGAAGCGCAAAATCGTCAAAGCGTCGAGGTTTACAGTGTAATTTATTATTATACTCGTACAAACCCCACGGTTTCAAATGAAATGTGATTACATGTTTATCGCGATAACACGATAAAGCTTTTCAAAGTAAATAAGTATGAGTGCGTACAGTTTTTTTCCACAAATTCACTAAACAGAAAACGAAATGAAAAATGTTTGTTTGTAATGTTTTTCAGTTTCAGAAAGAAGTAAGCAAGTAATAATAATACTATTAAATGAAAAAACAGAACTATTCCCACCACTCGTTCCCACCGCTGCAACTCCTGTGTAGCCAGGATCTACAGCTTGACCGCCAATGAAAACCCAACCAGTGAAGGTCAAGTCATTTAATAAATGAAGTTGCATGTAAGTATACATTCTTATACGCCATTTCCATTTTTTAACATTATGATTCCCGAACGATAAGGCTGTAATTTCTTTCGTGACAAGCCAAAATCAACGCGGGCGGAACCGTAGGGAAAGGCTAGTTTATATCTTTTTATACGTATTCTTGTGTGGGCTGCAAGGGCAGATAATTTTAACATGTGACTTTATTTATGGCTATTGATTCTAACTGTGACGCATTTGAAACGCGAATATGATCATTCTTACGAATAAATTCGATATTATTCGATATAGAGAAATTACATTTTAATTAAAATTGTGTAGAGTCCTAAAAATTCTTACCAAATTGGCAATATAGAAATTCTACCTTTCATTAAATGAGAATTTTAGGGTCCATATACTGACCCTCATTAAAGATACGGCACAATTTCATATACGAAAAAGGATCTTCTTTTATGAAGTACTTAATATTTAGCCATAAAAGTATAACACCCCACAGGTGAGTTCTAAAATTTTGCTAAAACATCACAGCATTAACATTTAAGATCCACTGTAGGTACAGTTATCTACGTGCAGCAGCTAATGAAATTCTCCTAGTTTCTAAAGTTTTAAGTGTCGAGAATGTTTGGCAAATAATGCCGCTGACTGTACAGAAAATTTTAATGCACACCACTTAGCATTATCAGGGTGAAACAAGCATTATGCCAGAGGGGGAGTAGTAGAGTTTTAGTAACATACTTTTACAACAAATAACGCTCTCTTTTTTGTTACCCATTGTATCTTTATAATGTATTTTTATATAAATAATCTTATCAGTATCTTCCTGCACGTGTATGTACAATTGAATGCTGTTGAAACATTGTTCAACAAATATAATAAAATAAAAATAAAAGGACTAGCCTGCGCAGGCTGCGTAATAAAAAGTAAAACGCGTCATTTTCAAAAACTGAGCATATTTGTTGACAAACTGTCCATTTAATGAGCAAACTCCAGCAGCTAATGAGCAAACCCACTTTAAACTGCGGCAGGCAGCCCCCGGCGCAGATTATGGGCCTAAACAAACTTGAAACGACAATCCGAAAGCAAATGTTTACTCTCACACTTCAGAGTTTAAAAAATCAATATTTTTGTGTAAATTAACCCTTAATATAAATCTTGTTTACGTGTGCTATTATGACAACAAAGAAATGGTAAGTTGACAACAAACCTTGACAGTGCGGAGGGCTCCATGAGCGGCGTCCTCGGCCCAGACCTTGACGCCGTCGCGCTCATACTCGAGGGTCCAGCCATTTTCTGAGGAGAGGAGGTTTTTTAGGGTTTGGAAGTCGGAGTCGTCGGCAACGCGCGCCTCGCCACGCGCCCAGCCCGCGCCGCCCATCCGAAAGCAGACATCCCAGCGCGCCGGCGAAGAGGGACTGTCGGCAGTCGATGGGCCACGCGCTACGCATGCGCACTACCAAGCTATACCTTTTTTAATATTCATAAATTTTATGCGTGAGATGTCGCTTTCGCGCCGCGAATCGAAAAGGATTGAAGCTTCTCGATTGCATTTTTTTTTCTCATTTGCTCCGGTTTCGTGTTTCGGTTTGCGAATATTCAAAGGTTTACTGGAATTTATCTCCCGATTTGATTATTTGCCAAGTCATCCTTAGGAATATGTTCCTCTGATTACTACTCAGACTTTATGAAACGCCTTAGGTATCTGACATAGCAAAATAGGCCGGATCTCTTTTTATTTTTATACATTTTTCTATTCGCATACTGAAAATTTAGCTATATTATGGCAACCAAAATAGGTAAAAATTGATGAAATGCAGGTCATCGAACATGGAAATGTGACCTTCCTCTAACATTTTAATGTTTTTAAACTCTACCGACTTTAAGCCAGGTGTTGTTATCCTTGTTACTTTTACAGCCAATTATTTTATAATAGCCACAATCAAATTAAAGTCAATGTTATCAAGGGAGTAGCAGTAAAATATAACAGCTTAGTAACGAATTGGAAGTGTAGAGCGATGGACTGGAGGATAGCCGTTCCCTTTTGTAGCCTGCTGCTTTTAGGGTTTTGTGGATACCCACCAGTAAGTTTAATTGATACCATTAGCTTTAAATATACCGTTAACAATTGCCCGTAATTAAATTAAACAAGAAATGGCTAATTTTAATTAGAAGTTTAACTTTACAGTCGTGGTTTTATAGTCTCTACTGACATTAACTTTTAAACCAACGACCACCCTCTTTTATTAATACCAAATATTGTTATAAACCACCATATTCATCTGAAATGATATGGCAATTTATAAGTCGTTCGTTCGTTTCAGCCAAATGACGTCCACAGCTGGACAAAGGTCTCCCCCAAGGATTTCCATAATGACCGGTCCTGCGTTGCCCTCATCCAGGTTCTGCCAACGACCTTCACCAGATCGTCGGTCCACCTAGTGGGGGGCCTGCCTACGCTACGTCTTCCGGCCCGGGGTCGCCACCCTTTGAGCTATGTCGGTCGGGTAGTAAAATCTAGTGATTTGGGTGTCCAAATAATACTTACTCTTGACTAACTTTTTAAGATTCGAATTAGATGTAGTGCATAATCGCCCATAGAGTGCGATTTAACGGTTTACGGTTAATTCTAGCCTAATTAATTAAAATTAGAAGCGAGATCTTTTTGTACCTAACCATCTGTTGAGCCAAATTGACAATAAGATACTTAACTAATTCTTTAAGCCACGATAGCCGAACGGTGAAGGTGTCGGACTGGCCGACTCGTGATCCGGGAACGCGGGTTCGAGCCCCGCCGCCGCTTGACTATTGTGGTAAGCCCACAACCATATTTAGCTTAGTACGAGGGGCTAACGGGACTATGCAAAATACTAATATTTATTTATATTATACAGCGAGGAGAGGAGGTCCTGCCGGGAAGCGTACTGCTGCCCGCCACTAGAAGAGGGCGGTACCTCGCCAACATTGTCAAACGGCAGGCTGTCGTGAGTACCATAGCAGGGATTACACAACAACACTATTGATGATGAAAATTCATCCGACCGATTTCGGCCATAGCGACCACTTCGACTCCTAACTGTGGCGGAGCTGGTGCGCTCGAAGATGGCTTAGGCGATTATCACACTGCACCACGCTCCTCGCGGTACGCGGGACGACCGATTTAATCATTATATGCAAGTACCTCAGTTTGTATAGAAAACACGCGCGGCACAACACACTGACAACGCGTTTGCGCGCAGGATTCGTTATATGGCGCCACGCGGATCGCGGCGGAGCGCGGTGCAGTGTGATAATCGCCTTTATATTATCTGTGGCCTTACGTAGGCGATCTTCTCGCAAATTGGGGGCATCTGAGCACGCCGCCATCATAATTATAGTGAATGGCCTAAGGTGGTAATCGAACCCACGAAACGCTAGAAAGTTTTAGTCAGCCATCTTTCCTTTGAATAATTTCTTACTAGCTCAATATCCACTATTTATAATACCTACTCGTATAGATTTTTATCGTCAAGAGAATTTGAGAACATTTCTTGATAATAAGCAACTTTTACCATTCAATCCCCAAGGCTCCACTGAAATCGCAAAGCTTAACTGGCTAAACTTTAGTTTCACACCTAACTTTAGTTTATACTAACTACCTAAACTACTAACTAGATAAAACAATGTAATCTTCACTCCTTAAAACATTTACATAATCTACGGCGGGTAACGAAACCAACAGTTTTGCGCGAGTAAGAATGAATCTATACTTAATAATATTATAAAGCTGAAGTTTTTTGCTTGAACGCGCGCTAATTTCAAGAACAGGGACAGTGTTGGATAGCCTATTTATCGAGGAAGGCTTTAGCATAAACATATTATAATATTACCCAGACTATTTTCACACGTATGAAGTCGCGGGCTCAGCTAGTACCTAAGTAATACAGTAGAACAGCGGTTCCCGAATGGTGGTCCGCGGAACCCTGGGGTTTCGTGGAAAGGCCGCAAGGGTTCCGTAAAAAATATTAACCCACGTTTCGTGACCGACGTTGTTCGCTCGCACCGACTTGTTTACGCACAAGGGAGGGGCAGGGCGTGCGGGCGGAGTAGTACGGGGGTTCCGCTAGGAAAAGTATAATCAATTAGGGTTCCTTGGCAAAAAAAAATGGGGAAACCCTGCAGTAGAAGAATATTTTGCGGAAAAAATATTTTAATACCTACAATAATCCTTTTGTTCTATTTTAGGACGGAACTGGAATAAAATTCAACGAAGATGCAGATCGAGTAAGTAAATTTTTAAATAAATGAACTTGAAATAACTTCTACTTAAATTAAGATTAAAGAATGTCTCATGAAATCCATAGGGTATTTTTTGTCATTAAACCATAGAGTCACTTGCATGAGTAAAAATAATTATGGGTATCTGTCCAGTGAGTTATTGCAAAAATAAAAGGACTATTCCCGCCTCTTGTTCCCATCACCGCCAATGAAAACTCACCCAGTGAAGGTCAAGGTAGTCCCAAGGTAGAGTGGGGTGCGATGGTGAGGGACCTCCTCGTGGTGCACCCTGGGCAACGTCCGCGTTGTCTGTTAACGCGGGCGGCTAACTTATCACCTGCGCGGCAGGTCTCGTCAACTCGGCGGGCCTGTCGGGCACCCCGTAACCCACAATTGAGTGGGCCAGGGGCCGTCGAGACATATGCCCGGGCCACGATGCAGGGGACATCTTTAAAAACCCCCACAGGTGGAGGCTGGCGGGGCGTTTGCCCGGGCCCATTCTTTGGAGGACCACTCTCGGTACTTCTCTGATCAGCAGAGCTGACCGAGCAGCGGTATAGAGCAGACCGTAACCCGCTACGGCGGGCCGGGGGTCCTGTTTTACCAGGGCCGCGAGGAGAAAACCTCTATAAAAAACAACTGGAGGAGGGGATTGGGGGTTCCCTCGAAGCCAGAGAGGCTTGCTCGTGAGCGAGCCTCTAGCCTGAAGCGGAGCTGCGGACGAATGTCCAACCAGGACAATAACTCGTGGCTCCGTTTCTTTGGGCTCTGGTGGAAACCGTCGGGTTTTAGTGGGTAGGCCCCGCCTTTAGTGGGTAGGCGGGGAGAGTCCCACATAACCCACTGGCCGTCCCCATAGACCAGTGGGTATGCGCAAAGCATTGCCCGATGAAAAAAAAAAATAAAGTCCCAAGGTAGAGTTGATTATGCAGAACCGCATAAGGACAGGACAGGAATGGCCGATTGCAAAGCAAGAGTTAAACTAAGTTAGTAGAGAGTAGCTCGCATAGTTGGTACAGTTTTTTATAGTTGTGTGTGACTGCAATCTATGCAAACACAATGAAAAATACGTTTGAATACGTTGTAAATATTGATTGTCTTCTAGTGTATGTCTTGTTGGTTGTCCTGTTAAATAAATAAAAAATAAAAACAGCGAGCTAAGCTTAATAACTTACGCCCGTATTCACAAACGATGCTTGCTTAAATGAGGCAGCAGATCGAGCGCACAGTTTTGAATAAAGCTCTGTGATTGGTTCATGTGTCATCCTGTGCGTCCACGCGCACTGTGAGACCTCATAGTAATGTTTGTGAATACGGGTGTAAGTTAGTAGAGCTTAGCTCGCATAGTTGACATAGTTTTCCATAGTTGTGTGCAGACTGGAAATAATACAAACACTATGGAAAACAGCGAGCTAAGCTAACCTGACCAAGGTTAGCTGTGGGTCTACAACCGCCATAAGAGGTCTGCCTTGCAGATGAACGCGGAATCGAAGAAGAAGGTAGACGTGCTATCGGAGGAGCTTCTGCCGTACATCATAGCTGAGCAGGAGCGGCGCACCACGCTGTTCCGGCGCATCATGACCGCCATCCAGAACGGGGAGAAGGGCGTCACGGTGGCAGAGGTCAGGAACAAGCACCCGCTTCTGATCAGAAGAGGTATGTAAAAGACTTAATAGGGTAGGGTCTTCTTCTAACCTTTTTACACATAAATAAACTGACGGCCGATGAGTCAGCAGATTATGGAGTGGATGCCGCGTACCGGAGAACGCAGCGTAAGAAGTCACCCACAAGGTGAACGAACAACAACATAATGGTAGCAGAAAGGCGCTGGACGCAGGCCGCTACCAACCAGGCAATATAGAAAGCATTGGGGGAGGCCTATGTTCAGCAGTGAACGTCTTATAGCTGGGATGATGATTTTAAGAAGTTTATTTGTGCCAATTACAACTCTAACAATAGAACATACCTATTCGTAGTTTTATTATTTTTTCATGGATTCCATGGAGACAGTTTTCCCGTAAGCAGGTTTCAAGACGCCAACGCCATCGGGTCTAAAGTGGTTAGTTTACGCGCACAGCTCGCTCATCTAGCTAAACTCTAACACACACTAATCCCCTTACTATTAAAAAGTTACACAGTTGTTGA